CCCGAGACCTGAGTCCAGAACAAGAGGAAGATGATGGATGGATGGATCTCTCTGAGGTTTTGGTCCATTGATCCATCTCCTGCTCCATCCCTCAGGAACTGGACTCCCAGACACCTGGACTCCAACTTTCTGGGTGAGAACCTCAGACTGAGGAGCTGCTGAAGGTCCAGACACCAACAGAACTGCATCATCTGCAACAAACAGAGAGAGTTCACCAGGAGTCCAACCTGCTCGACTTTGTGCTGCGCTCATGGTTCTTCAGGGACCAGATGGACTTCAGTGGTCCTGGAACCGTGACTAGACTGAACCAATGGGTTAAAACCGTTTTCTTTCTCCACAGGATCCACCGGCTCCAAATCCAGACGAACAGCGGTGGGGTGACCTCGGCTGGGAGGTCCCTCCCCTCCCAGAATGCTCTCTGCTCTGTCCGAGGTCTTCGTTGATCCGGGCCTCCTCCCAACTGGACCTCCCGGTTCAGACCAAAACTGCTCAGAACCCACCTGACAGGAGTCAAAACTGCCTCGCAGAGCCTCCTCAGCTCCAGCAGCATGGGGAGGAGGCGACATCATCATCCTCAGCGGGGCGACGAAGGGTTGGAGGAGAGATCGGACCGACGATCCAAGAACCGAAGGTTTCTGCTCCGGCTGAAGAAGAGGAGGCGCAGAGACGAGATGAAGAGCCGCAGAGCTGCCCGCTGTGTTTACGGGCCTTCCCTCCAGGGTAAGAGCTGCCGGACCTGTTCCGGAGTCTGTTAGCAAAATAAAATCTGAAAATGTCCTGAAAGTCCTGTGACTCCGTCTCCAGGTCCACGCAGATGGACCGGGACGGCCACCTGGCCCAGTGTCTCTCTGAGCTGGACGTGGACATGACCTGGTGAGGGGACGGGACACTTCGGGACCCCCTCGGATGGACGAGGAACTGCTCAGAGCTGCTGACGTGTCCCCAGGTTGGGACTCCGAGAAACTGGACCTCTGGGGCTCAAGTCCAGATCAGAGTTTAGGTTTTATCGAAGCAGATGACTCAAACTCCGATTCTGTATCTGCTGTTTTGTTTTGGTCGGAAATAAAATAAGAGCTGCTGATGGACGCCCGCGTTTCATTAACGACAATTTATATGAATTGGTTGCAAAAGTATTAACCCCCCCCCCCCCCCCTGAATTTTAGTCACCCCTGGTTTACCCCCCCCCCCCATCAGTTGATTGACAGCTCGAGTTTGAACGTTAGTGCAAGAAATAATTCTCGATTCAGTTAAATTGTGATTATAAAAACTGAAAAGCATAAATATTGCAGCTCTGAAGCTCCGACCTTTAACCTCGTTCATTGAGCTCCACTTGATCTAAGCCTCAGGGAGGTGCACCTCTAAGGTCTACCACAAGAAAAAGACATCATGAAGACCAAGGAACTGTCCACACAGGTCAGAAAGTTGTGGAGAAGTACGGGTCAGGTTATAAAATGTCCCAGAACCCTGAACGTCCCACAGGAGCTTCAAATCCATCATTCATTCATTCATTCATTCATTCATTCATTCATTCATTCATTCATTTCTGCAGTTTAGTCTCACTGAGTCACGAGGACTCATTTACAAGAGAGACCTGGTTTAGAGACAATAGTTCAAGTCAACTTTGTCGTTTCCAGCACATGTGGTACATGAGGTGGAACAAAATTATGTACTGGTACTCAATGTCCCGGTTACATCCATAAATAGCAAAATATAAAGTATAAAAAGAAACGATAAATAAGAATTAAAGATAAACGCTAAACACTAATGTAAAATAATGCGGTGCAACAACAGCAGCCTGAACATGAGTCTGTGGTGAGCAGATGGGTATGAATGAATGAATACAGCAGCACGAGATCAGCAGCATGGATAATCAGCAGCATGAAATAATCAGCAGCATGAGATAATCAGCATGGATCATCAGCAGCAAGAGATAAGCAGCATGGATAATCAGCAGCATGGATATCAGCAGCATGAGATAATCAGCAGCATTAGATAATCAGCAGCATGAGATAATCAGCAGCATGGATAATCAGCAGCATGAGATAATCAGCAGCATGGATAAACAGCAGCATTAGATAATCAGCAGCATGGATAATCAGCAGCATTAGATAATCAGCAGCACAAATAAGTCACGCATCGCCAGTTAAAGTGGCATTAGTGATTATTTTTTCTTAGTGATCATCCTGGTTAGGGGATTAGTGAGTAACAATTTTATGGAAGCTGTT